TACTTTGAAAATTTGTCTGAAATTCAGCCAAATTTTCAAAGTCGATATTTTGATTCCAAATTTTGGCAATATGTTTCTTATAGTTTTCTCCAGTTTTCCCCAAAGTTTCAGCCGAATTGGAACACTCTCAGAGTTTTCGCGGAGGTTTTTTTTCCTTTTTGCCGACTCCCTGAATAACACCATAACAAGAATCACAACACACAAAAAGCTCAAAGAATACAAGTGGAAGGGTGACGGTCTTGTGAAGCATTTACAGTCGTTTTATTGCATTTCCCTACAGAAAGTATCTTGAAATGAATATGGATTGTAGTGGCCCACGAGTGGACTACTGGTGGAAATATGAGAAAGTCTAAAAATGCACTTTCTGACTGTAACATGTTAAACAAAAATATATAAAGAACATGAAAACCAGATCACGGTTAGAAAATTCTAATTGTTCTAGTAGGTATCATGAAACAGAGAGAATATTGTTTTTTTAAAATTTTATCCGTTCTTCACAAATTCAAAAAATTTCTGTTTCAAAATCATGTGAAAATTGATGTTTCAGTTTCCATTTCTCACCAAATAAAGTTCTGCTCCTGATATTATGTTGGTACAAAAAGTCAGTTCTGTTGAAGAGAAACGCCAGTGGCTGTGGCCGAAGTTCCCAAAACGACAACTACAGTAACCTAAAAATATTTTCATTTCCCGTATTGTTTCTTGTTTTTCACTGTTTTTTCGTCGAAATCTCTGCTTAATTTCCCCCAAAAGTTCGGAATAAAAAATGTTGATACTGAAAAGAAACGCACGAAAATCGGGAGAATGAATTCTGAAAATAAATAAATTTAGCTTACGGTAGTTGTCGTTGTGTGACTTTCGGCCACAGTTATCTGCGTACAGAAAGAATTTGAAAAGGAGAAAAAATTCGATAGTTTCTTCAAGTGATCAAGATCAGAAAATTCTAACAGGTCTAGTAGTATTCATGAAACATTGATTTTTAGAAAAAATCGAACTTTCAGCCAGTGTTTTTTGTTATCAATAAATATGTTTTGGACATTTTGGTAATAGAAAATTCAAAAAGAAATTCGGCAGTGTGTTTACTGTTTCACTAATTTCATGAATGTTTTAAAAACTGAAAACATGAGACTCGCTTGTATTTTTTTATCAATATAATGATGACTATGATTTATCTTTATAATGATGACCAATTCTAGTTGTAATTATAGAATAAGCTTTACGAAATTCTCAAATCCTTACCTCCCACTATTTCATCGCTCATTTATCGAAAATTAGAAAAAAAAACAATTTTTTGTTTTTGATGACTGGTGTTATTTTTTTGTGAAAAGTGGATGAATAGTAGTCGAAAAAACCTCATGACTTTTTCAAGAAGCAAAAATTGAAGACACAAAAAACAAAAATTTGTATGTGGGTGTGTTCAAAAACAGAAACGGACAAAATGGAACTATTTTAAGGTTTCCTTCGTTTCGCTTTTTTGTTTGGCTGATATTTTTAAAGATTCGAACATTCAGTGCTCATTCAAAAAGTAAAAATTCTGCCAAGTTTGGACAAACTTTTTTCGGTTCCTATGCAAGATATCAAACAAGTGTCAACTGATAAAATATTTGTGATAATATGATAAGAAATTTATTAGTTGACAGACTTTTGTTATCTTTTATCAGAAGCGAGATTATTGATCGCAAAGTAGACTTGTTAAAATTGGCATTTCTTGGCGCCAATCGCCAAGAAATTTTTGGTTTTGGCGAGACACGCCAATATTTATTTTTGGCATTGTTCCCCAAACGCCAATTTATAAACAGGCGATTCACGCCTGCTTTCATATTTTGAATTTTGAGAAATTGAAAGGAAAAATTGTAGGGATTTTGGTAGATTTTAGATTTTTTGAAGGTTGCAGGCAAATCACAGAAGCCGAAATCCAAAGAAACTAATATAATTTTTCAATCCTGAACGAAGAAATTTAATAAAAAGACAAAATTTAGATGTTCATAACTCCAAAAAATTTCAGAAATTCGAGTCATTTTAAAGAAAATTCAGAAATTCCAAGAAATTCGTTCCCATTAAGGAAATTAGAAATTCGAAGGTTCTGGAGAATTTTTCGAAAAATTACCAATGTCAAATATTCTGAAATTTCAGGAAACTCAAATCCAGGATATTTGAAAAGTCTAGAAAAGTCACATTTCTGTTCTCTTTTTTCTTCATTATGAGAAACTTTCAATTTTGGCAAGTAATGAAATTCCATACTCATAAGCGTTCAAGTAATCAGGATTTGAAGAAAACAGAACATCGAAGTTCTGAAAATTCAAAAATTTCTCGAAATTCACGAATTTCGAAATTCGGAATCTCAAAATCTTTCAAAAACTTCCAAGTTTTCTAACTATGGAGTTATCTAAACTCGTTGTCTGATATAGTTCTCCAACAATTGAAAGTTCTATTGACCAAATTTTCTCGAAGCTGCCGTTCCGCAAAAACAGAAAACATAGTCGGAAAGTAAATTTCATGGGCTTTCTATTGATATAGGTCATGAAGTGTAACTTGAAGGAGAAATCAGATAGCTTCCTAATACAGTGAAAATTGTAATTCATATGATAAATATTGGCATTTGACGCCAATATTGAAATCTAAATGGGCGATAATAGCCAATCTAAAAAGAAAGCAGGCTATGAATGCAAATGACGTGAAAAATTATTGGGCCTTTGAAATTTCTTGGCGATCCCACAACAACCCTATCTCAAAGTTGAAGGTTAGGGGCCCTTCTAATACAGGTTGTAAGGTATATTCAAATGCCTATTTTCGTATGAACCAATCCTGTCTTCAAACTAAGTCATCAGAGAAACAATGATTCCCTCATCAATTCTCAACTCATGCTGCAGACGTTTTGAAGCAGAAAATTTTTCAAAAACTAAAAAAATCGACAAAAATCACAAAACTAGAATCACAACACACAGAAAGCAGAAGAAGGCACAATTACCAACCTGCTTCAACAATACACTGTCGACTGCTCGATGGAGCAATTGTCGAATTCAACTCATCTATTTCATAGACGGCTGATTCGGAATCCATTGGATCTTCGACTCCAGATCCTGTACTTTTTACTTTTTTCGCCTGATCCTTACTTTGAAATCTTGCTGATTTTGCCGTAGGCTCTTCTTCTTCCTCTTTCCGTTCTTCTTCTTCTTTTTTTGCTTGATTCTGATTCAAATCTTCTTCAGAATCCGTCGACGATTTTTGCATCAGGGGAATGATTCTGGAAAGAAGAAAATATTGGGAAAATGATGAAAAATCTCGAATCAATACAAAGAAAAGGGAGAATCGAAGCGATTTCTCTCATATTTATGACACCTATTCATTGCAGATTTCGATGGTTTTATGGCGGCGAAAACGACCCGCTATTTTTTTTTTGAAAAAGCGAAAAATATATTTTTCGGCAATGAAGATTTTTGGAAGATTGGACCTAGATTCTTATGTTTGAAAGAAGTAAAAAATCCTGATTTTTTTGAAATTTCCCGTTTCCATGTTCTCCCTAAATTTTAGAAAAGTATCTTGCTTTCAGTTGAAACAGAGTATTTTGAACTATTTAAAATTTCACAAGTAACATTTCAAACTCCCTCCCAAAATTGAAACTATATTTTTATCGCTATTACAGAAAATAACGGAGTAGCTAAAATTCTCCTAACTCAAGAAAGAAATTAGAAACAGGAAAAAAATTTGAAAAATTTTTTCCCATAGTGAGAAGTTACTTTTCTATTTTTTTCCCATGAAACAAGTCAAGTGAACAACAGAATTCACTTGTTACATGACGTTACCAAATCAGTAACAAAAAAGTAACGATACAAGTTCAGAATTTGGTCAAAAAATGAGGAAGAAGAACGATTCGAGACTAATACATAATTTGGAGTAGAGACTACTAGAAGAAAATCAAAGGGAATTGGAGTCTGGATGGTTCTGGAAAACAGACTATTTCTCCAGATACAAATTTGATTTTTTTTTGGATTTTGAAAGACAATTTTCATGTGTGATTTGGTTGAGTAATTCGAAGGAATCAAACATTTCAGAAAGTTTTCTTGTATGTTTTAAAAAACATTTGAAAATTCTAGGCCGCCTCAAGAAAACTGTTAGAATTGACATGGAATTTTCAGTTTTGACGAAAATTCAAAAATAGAAGTTCGGAAGCTTCTAGAAGTTTGGAGAAATGGACGATAACTGAGATTCATTCACTTTTTGAAGAAGTGATTTTCCAAAATTTTGCGAAATGGGTAACAAGTTATTGTTGCATGTTATGTGAATCTAGGTCTTTTTATACACACTTTGAAGCAGTAAAAAAATTTAGATGTAGTCCCTTTTTAAGAAATTGGTAACCATTTTGGATGATATGGAGAATGAATACAGTTACAGATTCAGTAAGAATTCTTGCGTCTTCAAGTAGTGCACTCATTGATTAGAAATCTTCTATAATTTACTAGTCAGTCTCCTGAAACCGTTTTTTTTAAATATATTTTTTGAAAAAATAAGTAAAGATGTTTTCCAAAAATATTTTGAAATGGAAGCTTTCAAAAAACTGAAACACTAGAATCTCGTCTTGGAAAAGCAAAACCATGAATGTCCCTGCCAAACCAAGCAACTTTTCGTAATATTTCTCCAACAGAACACCAATCAGAAATAGTCGAAAAATAAAGTTACTTATTTGGCACGGAAAATCCGACGAAAATTGCCATTACTTTAAAATGTCTCTAGAAAAATGTCGGAAATGAAAAACATAGTTTTCAATTTTGGCGGGAATTGAAAAAAAAATTAAGAACCTTCTAGAAGCTTCATAAAATGGACGATGCCTGAGATTTTTTCTCTTTTTGAATTGATTTTTCAAAGTTTTACATCTCTAAAGAAAATTTGCATTGAATCTATGTGAATCTACATTATTTACACACACTTTGATACAGTAAAAATTCTTGGTTGGCGTTCCTTACTAAGAAATTGAGGTCATTATGGAGAATGAGTACAGTTACAAATTTAGTAAGAATTGGTTTCTCTCACACACTGTGACAAGTAAATAGAAATCGTCTGAAAAGTAATAAGGAATCTCATAAATTATTTTTAAAAACTACATTGAGATGGAAGCTTTAAAACATACTTGTAATCCGGGCCTTTGCCGGGCCTTCGCGGGCCCTGGCATAGTTTCCCTCAGAGTCAATATTTTTTAACCACCCTAGTTTGATATGATAGAACTCGACGAGTACTACAAAATGATATTATTTAAAAAACTGTATCTTGTCTTTAAACAAAGTTACAGACAAAATAGTACGAAAAAATAAAGGCCCGGCCCGGGCCTTCCGGGAAAAGCCACTTGATGTCCTGTAACTTTGTTCATAGACAAGATACAATTTTCCAAATAGTAGCATTTTTGTAGCACTCGTCGAGTTCTATCATATCAAACTTAGGTGGTTAAAAAATATTGACTCTGAGGGAAACTATGCCAGGGCCCGCGAAGGCCCGGCAAAGGCCCTGATTACAAGTATGTTTTAAAGCTTCCATCTCAATGTAGTTTTTAAAAATAATCTATGAGATTCCTTATTACTTTTCAGACGATTTCTATTTACTTGTCACAGTGTTTGAGAGAAACCAATTCTTACTAAACTATTTGGAAAACTAGTTAGCAACACCCAAAAAAAATACTTATTTGAAACGGAAAATTTCCATAAAAAGTTGAATTAAAGGGAGGCTTCGACCAATATGTTTGTATTTAAATTACCTTTTTTTTCGTAATACTACTTCTTTGAGAAAAAACTATGGTCATTGTGAAATGTAGAGTTGCAGATTTTGTGAAAGTGATGTCGATTGCCAACCATCAGTGATTAGAAAAGTGATGAAGAAATCGTTTTTTATAATTTCCCAGTTTTCTGAAACCGTAAATTTAAAAATTTGGTATGGATGTTTTTCAAAATTATCTCGAAATTCAAATTTCAGAAAACTGGAACGCAAGACTGAGATTTTGAAAAAAATGTCCCTCAAAAGTCAAACAATTTTACGAAAACCAACATCAATTTTAAAAAGTGAGAAAATTAAGTTACTTATTAGAAGGTTTCAAAATCTTCGAGAAGCTTTCTCAACTTTTAAGAATCAGTGGTACATATTTTTGCAGTTTCACACTTCTAGTTTTAAGTTATAAACTTAGCGGATAACCAATATTAATATGTCTCAAAATAAAACAAGAACTGCAGTACCCCTTTAAAAAACTTTTTCAGTTGGAAATCTGACCTTTTTTATGTCCCCTTTCGTTTCCCTTGTTTCTCTTTTACTCCCAGTTGAATTGTTTAGAGTAAGTCACTTGACATACTCCTAACAAAAAACATAGCCAAAATAAAGTAATATCCAGTTACCAGAGAAGACCAAAGTGTCCCAAGTGACACTGTTTTTTTTCGACGCCTAATCCAAAAAGGGTCCAATAAACAGAAAATATTTTTGTGAAGAGAAAAAAAGAAGAAATATGACGAAAATGGATGTTTTGGGGTTGGGAAGAAGAAGAGGGAAACTGGGCGAGATTCGAGAGAGCGTGCGAATCAGAGAGACGCAGATCACTAGAAGATTTCAAAACGAAACTAGTTTTTGTATTGAAGAGAAGAAGAAGAAGAAGAAGAAGAGGGGAGAACTGTTGGGAGAAGAACATTTTTTGGTTTACTTTTAGTGCTGAGATCAATACAAATAGTACTATATACGGTCAGAATTCGAACTATGACTAATACGAAAATCTGGAAAACATATGTTCAAGAATTGGCTATGTTTTTTCATGCTAAACACTTTCGGTTTCAAGAACAGGACCTGAACAGTTTCCGAAAAATATAACAGTTTAGAAAAATCCAATAGTGCCAAAAATTAAAAAAAAACCCACAATTTCTAAAATTCTGGAAATTCCAAAATTTCTAAAATTACGGAAAATCCAAAAATTCCAAAAGTTCTGAAAACTCCAAATATCTAAAATATCCGAAAACTTCACAAAAATCCAAAAATTCCAAAATCCAGAAATCCAAAAAAAAATCCGAAAATTCCAAGAAACAAATAGGTTTGAAAGTCTTAAAAATTCTAAAAATCATAAAAATCCAAGAACTCCTGAAAACTTTTGAAAAAATTTCCTGTTTCAGATTTGATATTTAAAAAGTGATTTCCATCTAAACTAGTTTTCCTCTAGAACTTCGCGCAACCGGATTTGGAAAAATGAAAGATTCGGAATTTCATAGTTTGTTGAGCAAACTGATAGTGAGTTAGGAGAGAAAGCTCCCTTTTCTACATAATTTCTCCTGGGAAAATAAAGATCTTGATTTATGACAAAGCATTAGAAAGAGCCAATCTTTTTTCCCTGGTGTATTTTTTTCAAAATTTCAGGGCAAGAGTGAGTTCGACAAGTTTCAGAAGTTGGAAAATAGCCAAAGTGGAACTACAAAAAGTTGTATTATTGTATTAAACAAGTAGAAAACCATGTAGATTTACAGAAGAAATAACTTTTTTAATAGAAAAACTTCGAAAAATGGATTTAAAATGCAAAAAACCGCAGCTTTCGTCCATATTTGGAAGGTTCTCGAATTGTTTTTGAGTTCCCACCAAAACTGAAAACTCCGAAAAATTAGCGGTTTTTTGGCGATTTTTCGAAAGCAGAAGTGATTTTTTTTCGATTTCTTGCAAATATTGTAAATATTTAGGTTTTTATAAAAACCTAAAAAGGTCTAAACTATTTGCAAGAAATCGAAAAAAAATCAACTCTGCTTTCGAAAAATCGTTTTTACAAACACTTTTTTGCCAAAAAAAAATTAAAGGAAATGAGTTTTCTACAGTAATCTACAGTAATCAAACACCGTTCCATCAGATTTCAGACAGAAAAAACTGGAAAATAACCTTTGAAAATAGCTGAAAACCCGAAAAAGGTCTAAAAATTTCGCAAGAAATCGAAGAGAAAATCAATTTTAAGGTTCTCGAATTTTTTTGTTGAATTCCCGCAAAAACCCAAAATTTTAAGCCACCTCTGTTGGGAAAGTGTTGGGATTAAAAAAAAGATTCTAGAGCCTTCTAGAAGTTTACAGAAATAGACATCAAATGGAACGATTTTTCTATGTGAATCTACATATTTTTCCACACATTTCGATCAAATAAAATCATAGGTAACATATCAACGATTGATTGATTATCTTCAACAGTAAAGTTGTAAAAAGACAATGTTGTGAAACCGAAAAAAAAATTAATTCTCACCGAAATCGCTAGAAACTAATTTGAAGGTTTCTAATCAAATTACCAAATCATGAAATTCAATCTTTACTATTAACAATCACCAAATTCTGTGTGTATGTGTGTGTCCGTTTGTTCCCGTATCACCTGCCCTAACGAAGTCCAGAATGGACCAAAATTTCACAAATTTTCATAGATGACCGGAAATAGCAGCGAGATGATGCCCATTTATTTCTTATTTCAAAAATTTTTTTCTGACGTTTTCTGGAGACTTTATTCTATTTCTATGGGGCAAATTTTAGAAAATCATTAAATAATTTAGAAATTAGGAATTTCGAATTCGTTAATCTATAAACTTCTGAACTTCCAAAGTTCCAAGAACTTCTGGAGACTGTGTTCATTTCGAAACGTAGAACTTCTGAATTTCCAAATTCCTAGCTGGAAATCGAAGTAGTTCGCACTAAATGCGCATTACTTTTCGAGCAACCTAATACTAATTTTCCAAATTCCAGACAATCAGATTTTCGAAAAGCTGAGACACTTTTCTAGTATGATAACATAGTCCCTGAAAAATTGACAAACACTCAATATAAGATAATGTAAGCCAGAGCCAGGAAGTCCAGCCTCGAAACCGGGGATCCATATACTCCGAATTTCAGAACTTATAAAATTCAGTCATAAGTAGTTTCGAAATTTTGAAATTTTGGAAAATCAAATATTCAGGAATTTTCGTGACTTCGGAAACTCGGAAGTTTAGAAATTTGATATTGAATCGTAAGATACAGTAAGCGGAAGCCATGAGGTAGGTTGAGCCCTAGGGGGGCGACTGATTCCAAAAATGCTGAATATCTTAATTTCCGAGATGATAAACTCCAAAATTACCGCATTCCGAGTTTCCTAATTGAGGATTTCAGAAACTCTGAATGTCAAAGTCTAGAATTTTCCGAATTCAGTCCCAAAAAAAATCTCTGAGAAAAGGTATTGAAATCTCTTTTTGAAGTGACCGGTATTGTAAGTGGAGTCCAGAAGGTTTAGCCCGAATGGACACAAACCGACACTTGAAAATTTGAAAATTCGGAAGGAAAAAAAACCGGAAAGTTAACAATTTCTCACATTCAATTAAAACTACTTCTTCTATTTTCTCATGTTTCGAGATGCGAACGTTTTAAGTGTAGCCAGGAGATTGTAGCCGCCGACAGGCGGCGGTTTTTCGCGAAATGTTTTTTCATAAAAAAAAATAACAGAGTTAAAGATTGGCTGAAATTTTCAGACGTCTATTTTTTCAGGAAATATGACTTATATTAGCCATTTTGTTGTTGACAAGAAGGAGAAAAACTAGAAGAAATGATAGAATTAGGATTTTTGGGGAAAAAGTTTAGAGCAAAATAGTCGGGACCACATCCAAAAAACGGAAAGAAATTCAATTTAGCTTGAAACTCAACTCACTTGATTGTATTTTTGAGAAAACCCACGAGTTTTCTCCTCAATGGTTCCTCATTTTTTGGTTGTGGAGGCACCACGAATTCTGTGGACAAATTGCTAAAGTCTCCGGATTGTTTGGCAGATGGTGGAGCAATGGTCAGGATTCCAGAGTATTGGGATGGGCTGAAAAAGTGATTTAGTATTAAGGAGGTTGAAAAAAAGTTACAGTATCAAACTAACAAACTGAGATGATCAAATTTTCACGATTTTCAAAGGAAATGTGAAACAGAAAATCTAATCAAACAAAAATGGGAAACAGAGCAACACTGAAAATGTAACGGGCCGGGCCGGGCTTTTCCCGGAATTTCGGAGGCCCGGCCCGGCGGGCTCGTCATTTCACTAGTTTTGAAATTTTCAAAAAACACATAAGGGGGGCACCCTTATGTGATTTTTTTCGACCAAAATTTTTTTCGAGTTTTTTCGATCTTTTTTGATTAGACAGGCAAACAATCCAGAAAACGAAAAAAATGGAAAAAATTATATTGAGAGCTCAAAATTTTTTTAAAAATACCGAATTTTTGACACCGGGCCTTCCGGGCAGTGCCCGGAAGAACCCGCCTTGAAAATTTCCTCATGCCCGGCCGGGCCGGACCGGGATTTTACAAGTATGCTAATTTCTGGTACAAAAAAAACGTATTATTGCTGTCTGAGAAAAAAAGGTTGAGACGCTGACAGTTTTTCTCTGCGTCTCCACCTAATATGTGCTATTTAGGCTTTCGCTTCGAGTTTGCTACCGTATTAAAACTGAAAAAAACACTCTCTAACCGTTTTATCTCAGACAGCGATAATAGTTAGCAAATATTTTATACTTTCTTATTTTTTTCGTCCATTTTCCGGAATTTTTTTTAAGATTTAGAGAACATTTCATTTTCCGACATGTTTAGGAAAAAACAACAGAAAACTCGACGGAAAGCAGTGAAGAACGGAAAATTAACATATTTTTAGGTTACTGTAGTTATCGTTGTGGGATCTTGGGCCACGGCCATCTTCCAAAGCTCCGATTTTTAGTACCGAGATTGTAGTTGACTACCAAACAGAAAATTTTGATCACTCTCAAGAAAAATATGAAACAGAAAATATCGTTGTTGTTCAGAGGTGTTGGGAATGATTTCTGGAATCCGGAATAACATGATTTTAGGAGCCTGGAATACAGCTTTCGGATTTTCCAGCTTCTTCCAGAATCGAAGCTTCTCAAAAACCACAAAACGGAATTACTGTTTCGCGAATTTTACTAAATTTTAAGCGACTGTTAATTTTTTATATTTCTTCTTTCCCTTTGGCCAATTCAATTTTCATTGAAAGCTTCCGATAAATTAATTAAAAATTGAAAGGATGGGGGACACGAGATGTTTCTGAGTTTTTTTTTTTTGAGTTGCGGTATGCATTCTGAGGTGACGGTGAACAGTGATCAGTGTTCACACCCCGTTTGACCGCCCCAGCTGTGCCTCCGCACCTCAGCTGGTAGCGGCGGGCACCCCGTCCAACTCCTCGAAGGGCTTATATGAATAGAATATGGAGAAAATAATTTTTCATGTGTTGCAATCTTCAAAAGTATCTATTAGGCTGGGAGTATCAAAAGCTTACGAATGCAACTGTGTTTTCAGGGACATACAAGAGAGTTTATTGAAACCGATAACTTTTCTTAACGAAAAAATTTAATTTTTTCACAATTGCTAGTGGTTGGGACTCCCTCGCAACTTGGGTGGGACCGATTACACAAACTTTTGACGATTTGAATATTAGGGATCAGAAACAAGATTACCAATCGGAAATATCACAATTTTCATGAGTTTCAAGGTAAATGTGAAACAGAAAAAATAGTTTTTCATAGTAGGTGCTCGAAATGACTTTTTCGAGAAACGGAGTCCGGAATGACCTAATTCCTTGGAACCTGGAATACGAATTTTTGAGCCCGGCAATCTTATGTACAGGTGGAAATGGATAATCCAGGAGTTTAAATTTGTTTCTAAAACTTCTTGGGAAATGTTGAGAAGCCAATCATCGCCACACTAATGAAATTGTGGTTTATAGGAACACAAGAGAGTTTCTTGAAACAGCTAAGATTCTTTATATAAAAAAATGTAATATTCTAATTATAAGTTGACTTAAAAAATAAAGGTGAATGAAATCAAAATCGAGGCTTTTCAAAAACCACAAAATGGAATTATTGTTTCGCGAAATTCCCTTAATTCTGAGCGACTATCATTGCTGATCATTCTCAACATTTTTCTTTTGAAGTTTCCAATGAATGCATAAGCAATTGAAAAGAGTAATTGTTCTAAATTTGTTTTGGAAGGGCCCGATTACGACCATACTTGTAAAATTCCGGGCCGGGCCCGGGCCTTGGCGGGCCCGGTATCAAAATTTTTGTCATTTTGAGCCAAATTTTGAGCTCTCAATATAATTTTCTCTTTTTTTTGTTTTTCGGATTTTTTGTCTGTTTGATCAAAAAAGATCGCAAAAACTCGAAAAAAATTTTTTGATCGAAAAAAATCACATAAGGGATGATTACGACAACTTTTTGAAATTCAAATATCAGTTCAACAGTAGCTAACAATAGAACAGAGACGACAACATTTTCATGAGTTTCAAGATATTAAATGTGAAACAGAAAATATCGGTATTTTTCAGAGATGCTTGAAATGGCTTTTTCGAGAAACGGAATCCGGAACAAAATGAATCCTTTGGAATCTGTAATGGAATTCCGGATTCGAGACATCTCTTTTGTGTCCAAGTGGGAATGGATGATTAATGTGTTTCTAAAATGTTTTAGAGAAATATTGGTACTGAATTTTCCGGAACACAAAAGAAAGTTTGATAAGATTTTATGATTTTTCATATTGTCTATTCAAAATAATCGCGCGAGTGAACGAGTAAAAATGTCTGCGTCTCCACAACGCCTCTACAAATTTGGAGACTCTCTACACGTTTTGTTACTCGTTCACCCGCAATTAACAAATTTTCCTAAATTGACTTCAAAATACAGTTAAATGAAATTTCATGAAATCCTTTGCGAAAACTCAAAAAAAAGAGGTGTATCAAGTCTTCTCAAAAACTATCAAGTCTTCTCAAAGACCAAGACACAAAACTACTGTTTCTCAAACTTTACTTAATTCTAATGTAAGCGAATTCCACTGTTGCTCAATTTTTACTGAAACTTTCAATAAATTCATCAGAACTTTACGGACAATTGGGTTCTCATGGAAAGCTAAAAAAGTGAAAGAACATGAAAAACTTTCTTTTTATGAATCATAGTTTGGAAGATAGAGAACACAAAAAACCATCAATATTTTGCAACATTATAAAATATATAAAAATTTGTCAACTGATAAAACATCGGTGTTACTTTGAAAAACAATTTATTAGTTGACAAAATTTTGATACCTTTCACAGGAGCCGAGATAATTGAGCTCAAAGTTAATGGGTTGGGAGGGCTTCTATGTGTTTTGACCACCTATTTCTTTTAAAGCTGTTCTAGAACTTTTTCAATTTAATACACTAAAAATGTTTTGCTCATAAACCAGAAATCAAAAAACAATGCATGCAAAAATAGAATAACGAATTACAATGAAGTCACTATAATCCTCTTTAGTTTATGTTTTTTCGTTATTTTTGAAAAAGGTGATGATACATCTTTGAAGGTTATATTTGCATAAGTCTCTTCTCTTTTTCTCTCTCAAAACATTTCGAAACTTCGTGACGACACTCCCTTTCTATTTCAACATGCAGCAAAGTTTTTTCTGAGTCGTCCAGGGAGATCATTTGAGTAAATAACATAGAACAAAAGATAGAAACCATTGGGTTTTTTAGTATTTCTAGAGAATTTTTGAGAGAAAAGGCTTAATAGGAAAACAAATGGAAAACCAAAGCTAGGGAAAAAGGAACTCGAGGTTTCTATGGTGACATTTAGTGTGTGAGCCCCTTGCTAAATTTGCATCTTTTTGGAGGGAGGAAAGATTAAACCGAGGAAGGGATCAGAGAATGTATTGGAGGGAGGAAAGGAAAAAAAACTAATCCGAGCATCAGGGATAGCTAATATTGAATTCAGTTCGGAAATTCCCACTTTTCTAATGATTTTGAAACAGAAAAATTTTTCAGAATTTTTGAATTCAATTTGTTTATATCTTTTAAATCCTCACATTTTCCGAATTTCACAGATTATACGAATACTGTAAATCCTGTAATAGAAGGGCTTCCTAACGTTGAGCCAATTTATCTCAATTCTTGTCAACGATATGAAAGATCTGCCAACTGTTAAAATGTTAACGATTTTATGATAAACATTTAATTAGTTGATCATTTTTTGATATCTTGCATGATAGACAAGATGATTGAGCTCAAAGTGCACTTATCGGGTGGGCTTCTATGGGAGTAAATACAGTGTTACAACATCTAAATCTCAGAAGAACTCTGAGATTTCAAGATCCTCCACTATCGAATAATTTCAAGTTTTTAGTGGTTTGGAACTGCTTTCCCGATGACTGAATTCCAGAATCTTGGAATCTGAAATTCTCAAAACCTTACAAATTCAGAATCTTCGAAATTTTCAAGATATCAAAGTCTTGGAATGCTTCAGATTTATTGGGATTCTCAGAATCTTTCGTCCGAATGGAAATCAAAAATATTCAATGTGGCAAACCGTATTCTCTCTAATATGTAGAATCCCACACAAACCTTACACTTTGAGCTCAATTATCTCGATAAACTGATAAAATGTTAATGATTTTTTTATGATGACTGTTTTATCAGTTTATATATTTTTGATATCTTTCATATGAACCGAGATAATTGAGCTAGAAAGTTGAAGGTTTGGGCTTCTATCCCAAAAAATACGATAACGACTATCCCAATGTAAACTTTTCGTACAATTCATCCAAAACCTTCAAATCTCACCTTCTAGAAATTCCTTCGTCCATGTAATCAAAAATGTCGGATCCCTCGACACTTTGTGTCCCTGAAAACGGAATTTTAAGAATCCCTGTAACACAATTCCTAGAAACAGAGCATCATCTATCATATTTGTGATACAGTTGAACTAAAACCGTTAAAAAATGTTTTTAGAACATGAAGGAGTTTTTCGCATTTTTTTTATTCCTCTAGAATACTAACTGATAACTAAACGTCTTATAAATTATATAGTTGAACTGAAACCGCAAAAAGATTTTATCAAACATTAAATAGTTTTTCTCAAAAACTCTGAAAATTGTTTATTCAACCACACAGGATGGCGAAAAGTTTTGTCTCATGGAACTCCCCATGTTTACAAAATTCTGCTGTAAAGTCGTGACCTAATACAAATGTTTATGAATGTTTTTAGGCGCTTACAAGAGTCAAAATTTCAACTAGAAGAGCAGAAAACGCGTTTTCTTTATTTGAGGTTTTCTGAAATACAACTGAACGAATTTCTAAACGATGAACTAGACATTTAAAAGTAAATTAAAGTTTTTTTATTTAAAAAGATGAAGAAAATAACTGTTGCAGCAAGAAGAAAATAAACTTCTGAGAATTCGCTTTTTCATATTGCAGACAGAAAAAATTTTTCGTCGCGACTTCTGGTGCCTAAATGTTTACGGAACTCTCTTCAATCCATTTCCATTCAATAAAAAATGAAGTTATAAATCAGTTTTTCAAAGAATAATTTATTCAAACACTCACTTCTCAAACTGGCCCTGAAATTCTTGGGCAGTGCATCAAATGAAGCAGTTTTAGGCAGCATGATTTCTGAATTTTCTAACCCAAAATGGATCTTAGCAACAGAAATGAGAAGATGGTCAAGATGCTCGTTAAGCTCAAGCTTCTTCGGGGGGAAAGTTTGCTCGAAAAGTGTCCGTTTGGCTGATGGTGGTCACTTTGCTTTTCGTGTTCGCAAATAAAAAGCAAAGCCTCTGCGTCTCCATTCTCATATGTTATGTTGTACTTTTTCCGTCAAAATAAAACTTCCGTTTCGACTACAAAAACTATGACAAAAGGATATACGTTGTGTCTTTATACAGGAAACAAATTTAGGTTGAAATATCATGTTGAACAGGAGAAAATTTGAGTTAAGATTTAGCATGGGTTAGCAGAGCTGTTGTTTGGTTTCCGTTTCCAACTCCTGAATAATTTCACGCATCTTCGCAGTTTCCTGTTTCATTCGAAGAATCTCATCGATCGATTTTTGGCTCTGGAACTAGAAGGGGATTTTCAAAAACTTAAAATAATTATTAACAGTGATAGTTTCGTTATTATCAGCCTGATGTTTTCTCTGCAACTCATCGCGTTCAGCTCTCAGCTTCTCCAACATTTCCAGATCGCTGTCGACGAGTTTAGCTTTCAATTCCGCTTGTTCTTTCTTCAGACCCTCCATCTTCTTTCGATTGTCCTCGAACTTTTTCTCTCCTTCGAGAACTTTGGTGAGAAGACGGTCTTTTTGATCACCATCAATCGGCAAATTGTTCTCGAGAAATTGTTCGCCATCTTTGATAGCTTTAACAAAGATTTCCTGAGAATAGAGCTCGAGAATATCTTGGTTTCTCTCAGGATTCATGCTTTAGCTGAAAAGAAATCACTAGAAATCAAACAAATTTCGATTAAAATTTGAAAATCAAAAAAAAAATCACATTCAAAAAAATTGTGAAACGCGCCAAGAATAAAACGCCGAATAAACCATGCGGCAAGGCTGCAGGCCCGAAGCCCCGCCTCCTCAACCGCGCCGCAAATTCTGCACGGCTTATTTTTTGTTGTCTTGAAAGCCAGCTTTAGCTGGAAATCGGTTCTTTTTCTGAATTTTTCAATTAAAATCATAAAGAGTAGTAGATTTGCAGGTAAAATGGCCTCGGGAGCAGAGTTCCGGCAGGATATGCCTCCAAAAGGAGGCTATCGAGCCTTCAACTTCCATCGCACATTCCCGAAACTCGTCTGGAGTCGTAAGTCGATTTGATAGTTTTAAAACTCTTTAGAAACACTAGACGAGTGTCAGAGAAGCTATTTGCTGCAGAAAAATCGATATAAAAAGGAAAATTTCGAAGTTTCGAAGAGTAATTGACACTATATATAATTGCTCTTATTTTGCATTCATAAGTTTCATTAGTTAAAACTATTTTAGTCATTTTTCATGAGCTAAAAAAAAGAAACGATGAAAACTAAAAAAAAATATCTCTCTTCAGCTGGAGCCGTCGTCGCCACCATCTTCGGAGCTACCGCTTACGGAGTGTACGCCGCACTTGAAGGAAAGAAAGCTGATATGTAAGCATATATTTTTAATATTTCCATGTTAACTAAAACCTAGATTTTCAGCACTGAAAAATTCGAAGATGTCGATATCAACAACGCCATGCAACCTTTTCTGACTGCCGAGCGTGATAGATATTGGCTTAAATTGATGGCCAAAAATCGTGCCCTCGAGGAGGAAATCATGAAAGATGTTCCAGGATGGAAAGTTGGAACCTGGTATGGAGAGCCAGTGTTCTTCACCCTTGGAGACAAGTGGTGGGATCCATCAGCAACTGAGGTGAGCTTTTAATTCTATTGAATTCAAAAATATTTGCGTAATTGGAAAAGAAGTAGTAGAAATATTGTTTTTCAAGTAATTTCTTCATCTCAAAAATTCCAGGTCTTCGCGCACTCGTGGGGATCCGTCGAAGCCCGTGATCACCTCTGGCGCCAACACTCCGAGTACGCTGGTCCGAAATTCTACGATAACTGGTTCCCACAATGGATGTCCAAGTGGTTCTGGTAGATACCTCCTTCGTTCAGACAACATCATTGATAAAGTTTTCGAGTCCCGCTCTAGGCCCTCCATAAATTGTTTGAGTTCCCTTTTTTATTGTGTAGACTGTTTAATTTTTCGAAAAAAAAAAATAACGACATTTTTTTAGTTGTAAATTTCGTGTTTGTCTTGATAAAGCGATATGCAATGAATGTAAATTTTGCGATCTGAATCCTTTTGAAACTCGCCCAGTCTTCTGCGTTCTATTACAGATGGCGTTGTATTATGATTTTCATGGTATTAGAGAAAATGAGCTAAATAATTGAGATTCCCTTTTTGTTTTTTGTCGCTAAATTTCTTGCGTTTTGGCTTGAAAAGTCTTAAGTTTTTCATTGAAACCTCAAATTTTTGTTTTTGGTTACTGTAGAAATTCAAAAAATTTAAAGGCGCACGCTTACAAAATTTCTCGAGGTTTCGCAGCGACCTCTATATTACGGTATTTTTTACTTTTGCGCGGCTCTGTCTCAATTTTTCTTCCGATTTTCACCCGATTCTTTCTGAATTTTCCTTTTTTCTTTAAAATTTTCACTTAATTCACTACAAATTGAATTTCTAGCACAATGCTGAACGTCGTCAAGTCGATGTCCCGTACGAAAACGCCGGTTCGCACCTATATGAAGTAAGAAAATTGTTTTAGTTCGAGAAAATAAAATTTTGATAGGAAGCAGGTGAGCGCCACTACAAACTTCGATGTCATCGATCATGAGTTCGACGCTGTCGTCGTTGGTGCTGGTGGAGCCGGATTGAGAGCAGCGATGGGATTGTCAGAGGGTGGAATGAAAACTGCAGTTATCACTAAGCTGTTTCCAACCAGATCGCACACAGTTGCAGCTCAAGGAGGTTTGAAATTACTCAAAAATGGGCGAAATATGTATTTTTTTTCAATTTTTTAGGTGTGAATGCCGCTTTGGGAAACATGAATCCTGATAACTGGCGCTGGCATTTTTACGATACTGTCAAGGGTTCCGATTGGCTTGGAGACCAAGATGCCATCCATTACATGACTCGTGAAGCGGAGAGAGCTATTATTGAGCTTGAAAACTACGGAATGCCATTCTCTCGTACCACCGATGGAAAAATCTACCAACGCGCTTTCGGAGGGCAATCCAATGATTTCGGTCGTGGAGGACAAGCGCACCGCACTTGTTGTGTTGCGGATAGAACTGGACATTCCCTACTTCACACCCTATACGGAGCATCTCTCCAGTATGATTGCAACTACTTCGTTGAATATTTCGCTCTTGATTTGATTATGGACAAGGTAAAACTGCAGTAAAATATAAATTCAAAACTTTCGAATTTTCCAGGGTCAATGCATCGGTGTGATTGCTTTGGACATCGAAACTGGTCAAATTCATCGTTTCCGTGCAAAGAGCACGGTTCTTGCCACCGGTGGATACGGAAGAGCCTACTTCTCCTGTACCTCAGCTCACACTTGCACTGGAGACGGTACAGCGTTGACTGCTCGCGCTGGAATCCGAAATTCCGACATGGAATTTGTTCAGTTCCATCCAACTGGAATCTACGGAGTCGGATGTTTGATCACTGAAGGATCTCGTGGAGAAGGAGGATATCTTGTGAACTCCCAAGGAGAACGATTCATGGAGAGATATGCACCAGTTGCAAAGGATTTGGCGTCGAGAGATGTTGTATCAAGAGCCATGACCATGGAAATCATCGAGGGACGAGGAGTTGGACCAAACAAGGATCACATATACCTTCAGTTGCACCATCTTCCAGCTGAACAACTTCAACAGAGATTGCCAGGAATTTCAGAAACTGCTCAAATCTTTGCTGGAGTTGATGTCACCAAAGAACCAATCCCAGTCATTCCAACAGTGCATTATAATATGGGAGGAGTCCCCACCAACTACAAGGGACAAGTTCTCAACTACACTCCGGAAAATGGTGATCAAGTTATCCCTGGACTCTATGCGGCCGGAGAGTGCGCGGCTCACTCCGTTCACGGAGCAAATCGCCTTGGCGCCAACTCACTTCTCGACTTGGTCATCTTTGGGAGATCCTGCGCATTGAAGTAAGAAAAATTATGCTTTCAGTAATTACTAACAGTGGTCTTAAATTTCAGCATCTTGAAAGAGAACAAGCCAGGAGACTTGATCCCAGATCTTCCAGCAAATTGCGAAGAAAAATCTCGTGACAACTTAAACGGACTTCTCCACTCGAAGGGTGATATTCCAGCCATTGACTTGCGGCTGAAGATGCAACACACCATGCAGAAGCATGCAGCTGTTTTCAGACGTGGAGATTTGTTGAAGGTCTGAAAATGTTTTTTTTTTAAATTCCCCCTGAATTCGTTCTCTTCAGGAAGGAGTTGAGAAGATGGCGTCTATCTACAAGGAGCAACAGCACATGAAGGCGTGCGCAGATTCAGGCAAAATGTGGAATTCGGAACTTGTTGAGACTCTCGAGCTCCAGAACTTGCTCATCAATGCCAACCAAACGATTGTCGCCGCTGAAAACCGCACAGAATCCCGCGGAGCACACGCTCGAGATGACTTCCAGGATAGAATCGACGAGTTCGACTACAGCAAGTCGTTGGAAGGACAGAAGAAGAAGACGTTCGAGGAGCACTGGCGCAAGCATTCAATCATTGGAATCGATACCAAAACAGGAGCAGTGGATCTCACTTATCGTCCAGTCATCGATACCACTCTCGATAAATCTGAAACTGACTGGGTGCCACCGAAAGTTAGATCCTATTAATTGTTCTGTTGACTGATACTTTTTGCTTTTTCCGTTTTCAAGATATTTATTGGTTTCCTAATTTTTTTTTCCTAAAGTAAATATTATTTTCCGTTCGCCATCCTCATCTTTGCCTATTTATTCTGGGCTTCTCATCCCTTCTTTTCTGAGACCCCGCAATTTCCGGGGAAAGAAAAAATCGGGGAAAAAAACCGGGGAAAGTGGGCGGAGTCGAGAAAAACCGTGCGACAAAACCGTGCCAGGGTTGCAATTTAGGCTCCGCCCCCTCATGACCGTGTCCAAATGTGCAGAAAAACCGTACGGCAAAACCGTGCCAGGGTTGCATTTTAGGCTCCGTCCCCGACTCCGCCCACTTTCCCCGGTTTTTTTCCCCGATTTTTTCTTTCCCCGGAATTTGCGGGGTCTCTTTTCTGAGAAGGCAAGCATGTGCGCTCTACTGCACCTATTTTACGTCATTTTTCCTCCAAAGGCCCGTTGGAACATCTGAAAATCACTTTTCGAAGAGCTTTTCCACTGATCCTTCTCACAAAAAATTTGTTAACCAAATATTTAATTTGTAAGAATAACCATGGATGGAATGATCGCAATGTTGCCTGCTCCACTGCAGCAGTTGTCTTCTCATATCGATTTTCAGGGACAGAAAGTCGCAGAACGCACTTATCAGGTTTTAAAAAATTCAAAAATACTTTAAAAATCGAAATTTGCTTCAGGTGATCCTCACTCTTGCCGGAATCATTGGATTCTTCGTCGGATACTCAACTCAACAACTGTCATATGCAATGTACACTGTGATGGGTGCCGCCGTCTTCACCGCTCTCATCATCCTTCCACCATGGCCATTCCTTTTCAGAAAGAACCCGATCGTGGTTAGTGATAAAGCCTTTGTAATCAAGAAGTCCTGTTTGTTAACTTTGTTAAACTTTTCAGTGGCAAACTCCAATCGAAGAACAAGAAGCGTCATCATCCTCAGACAACGAAAAGAAAGACAAGAAAAAGGAGACGAAGAAGACGAAGTAAAGCAGTAAAGCAGAACTGCTGTTTGGGGATCTGGTCAATCAATTATTTATCTTTTTTTTAAATTTTAATTTATTTTTCTCTTCCTGTAAAATCTTCTGTGATTCGAGTCGTTCGACACATTCAATTCATAATAAATGCATTTTCGGTCGTAAAATCATATTCCAAATTGTGCGTTTAAATGCGGACCTTGTTTTTACTTTCAAAGCCTTAAAACCCTTTGTTTCCAAAAATGTATTGTGCCTTAAGAAATGTACCGCGCCGGGGCACTAGTGCTCCGAAGTGCAACTCTCCGTCGTACGCGGTTTCTCGCAGCTCATCAGAATTTCGCTACTATTTCCTCCCAGAGAAGCTCAGTTTTACTGGCAAAATCCTTGGAATCATCCATAGGTGGTGCTGGAAATCAGAAGAAGTTTTACTCGTGAGTAGTTCTGATGAGAAACTTCGAAAATCACAAATTCAGTTTCAGAAGCAAAGATCACGATGATCCGATCGCCGTTGATGATTCATTGGAGCTTTATAAAGATCTTGTAAGCCTATTTTCTCAAAAAATCTTCTCTGAATTCACTGTATTATGTATATTTTAGGGAGGAATGTCACCGATTCAAGTGCCCGCTGATATGCCGAATGTTCCGATTCTAGCTATCAATCGATATCCATTATTCCCCGGATTCATCAAAAAAGTTGATGTAAGAGAATCATTTCAAAAAACCATGAAAATTAGAAATTTTAGATTGTGAAAGACGACAATCTGAAGGCGTTAATCAGACGACAGCTATCACTCAAACAACCGTACGCTGGAGTTTTCGTGAAGAAAGATGACGAGTGAGATTTTAAAAAACATTTTTTTATTAAAAAACTGTAATATTTAGAAAGTCCCCTCCAATTTGTCAAGTTTGAGTTTAATTTTCTCAATTCCTATGAAAGATATGAAAAATGTGTCAACTGACAAAGTGTTTGTGACATTATGATAAACAAATTATCAGTTGACAACTTTTTTATATCTTTCACAGGAATCGAGATAATCGAGCTCAAAGATGAAAGTTAGGGGGACCCCTCTATTATAGGTTTTTTAATACTGAATACCCACTCATTCCAATTTTCAGAAACAAAGAAGAAACAATTGTATCACTCTCGGAAGTCTACCCAACTGGATCCTTCGTTCAAATCATTGAAGTCAGAGACCAGGGAAGTGTTCTCGAATTGGTGCTCAGTGCTCATCGCAGAATCAGAGTCATCGAGCCGATTGAAGACGTTGTTGCACCGAAAACAGATACTCCGTTGAATGGAAGACGTGCGCGAGGAAAGCGAGCTGGTCTCCCACCAACGCCTCCGCCAACGCCACCACTCTCCACACCGACCTCTGCTCCAGAAGCTAGTGCCACCTCACCAGAAGAAAAGGAGGAGAAGAAGGATCCAGAGAGAAAGGGAATTGTCATGGTTCGAACTGAGAACGTTGTCGCTGATCCTGTACCCAAAAATAACGAGACAAAGGCCACAATGATGGCTATTGTTCAGACGATCAGAGACGTCGTTCAGTTCAATCAATTGTTCGGACAACAGATCAATCTCCTCCTCCATCCTTCCCAAAACGTTATTGATAATCCTGTCTACCTTTGTGATTTGGTTGCCACTCTGGTACAATCCGCGGAAACCAAGGATCTTCAAGAAATGATGGATGAAACGGATGTAAGCCTGAAAAATCTCTGACTAATCATCTAATTATTTTTTTTTCAGGTATCAAAACGTCTTAAAATTGCTTTGCTTTTGATTCAAAAAGAGAAAGCAGTCGCAAAATTGAAGCATGATATCAACAAAGACGTGGAGAAAAAGGTTCAGGATCATCATCGAAAATATCTACTCAATGAGCAGCTAAAAGTGATCAAGAAGGAATTGGGAATCGAGAAAGATGAGAAGACAACGATTATTGAGAAGATTGACGAGAGAATGAAGACGTTGGCAGTTCCAGAATACGCGTTGAAAGTGATTAACGAGGAGAAGACAAAGCTACAGTTTTTGGATCCACACTCCAGTGAATTCAGTGTCACAAGAAACTATTTGGAATGGCTGACTTCTGTTCCTTGGGGTCTTACATCTCCAGAGAATCGTCGCTTGTCACATGCGAAGAAGGCTTTGGATGAGGGTCACTATGGAATGAAGGATGTTAAGGAGAGAATTATGGAGTTCATTGCTGTCAACTTGCTTCGTAAATCCGTGGGTGGAAAGATTCTCTGCTTCCACGGACCGCCAGGAGTTGGAAAGACTTCCATCGCCAAGTCGATTGCAAATGCACTCAATAGAGAGTACTTCCGATTCTCAGTTGGTGGAATGACAGACGTCGCCGAAATCAAGGGACATCGTCGCACTTACGTTGGCGCGATGCCAGGAAAAATGATTCAGTGTATGAAAAAGGTCAAGACTGAGAACCCGCTGGTTCTGATTGATGAAGTTGACAAGATTGGAGGAGCCGGTTTCCATGGAGATCCAGCATCTGCGTTGCTGGAACTTTTGGATCCAGAGCAGAATGCAAACTTCAATGATCACTTTTTGGATGTTCCTGTAGACTTGTCTAGGTATGTTTAACCCGATTTAATGTTGGTATAGAAAAATTGTGAAGCTATGGATGGGGTGGATAACCCTTAAAATTTAGCATTTTTCGAGAGAAAACCTTGTTTTTTATTCAATTTTGTTTGAAAAATTTTCAGACCTTTTTAGGTTTTTCAGCTATTTTCAACGACTCTTTTCCAATTTTTTCGGTTGCTTTCGTCGGAAATTTGTTGGGACGGTATTTGATTACTATAGATTACTGTAGGTTACTGTGGAAAACTCATTGTGTTTTTGTCCGCATTTCGACGTGATTTTTGTTTTCAAAAAAAACTACAAACTACAACATTTTCTACAGTAATCTACAGTAATCTTCCGGTCAAGAACACCATCCTGTCAAATTTCAGACAAGAAAAATCGAAAAAGAAAATTCATAAACAGATGAAAACCTTAAAAAGGTCAAAAAATTTTGCAAAAAAATCGAAGAAAAAGTCAATTTTGCTTTCGAAATTTTTTTTCAGAGTACTGTATTTAGTTGTCGTTGTGGGACCTTCGACTTTTGTACCAGAATAAGGAAAAACATAGAAAGTACAAATTGATTCATAAAGACAAAAAGAAATAAAATTACAAAAATAACCAAAACTTATTAGACTAGTTTCTCCGGATCGAAATACTTGTTGATTATCTTGTTAGCAGCCGTCCGAACCCTTATCTTTACCAAGAGGATATCAATTTCTTTCGACGACTCAATCATTGGATATTGAACTGAATGCTCAGTCCAATTTTCACTATTACGCTGCGTATTACGCTGACTTTCCGACATGTGTCCTTCTATACTATCCGTAATCACTTTCCATCGCTTTCGTGTTTCTTTGATTTCCTTCGATATCTTGTTCATCTTTTCTAGAAATTCAATCGTCGTCTTTCCAGAAGAGGCTCCTTTCTTCTTCTTTTTGTCTTCTTCCATTAGCCTGTCAAGCTCGGCTTGTTTCCGTTCGCAATATGCTTCCATTTTCTCAATTTCTTGCTTATATTGCTGATTCGTTAGCTTGAATTTCTCCATTTGAGATTTCATTTCACTGACTTCTGCGTCCAGGCCTCTGTTTGACCTGAAAATTTGAGAAAATCAACATTTAAGAAATAGGTAAAAACTCACTTGCTCTGATTTTTACTGCTTTCCAACGGACTGGGTTTGCCGGAGCTCATGGCTCAGTAGATCTGAAATTTTTTATATTTAAAAAAACTAGAATAAAACGCCGGTGGCCGTGGTCAAAGGCCCCACAACGACAACTACCGTAACCGAAAAATTTAGCGATTTTTCGAGAAAAAAAAACAACTTTTTTAATTCGATTTTTTGCAAAATTGCTACACCTTTTTAGGTTTAGGATGTCGGTGAGTTGAAATGGAAAGTAACTCATACAAGTATCATGTTTTCAGATTATTCACACGAGAACGTAATAAAGATTTTTGGTTACCCGAAACTGGCTTTCACCCTTATCCGGTTGCATGTGTTCACAAGTCGGACAAAGAATCTATAATCGAATCCGTCCATAACTATTTTCTTGATTTTTTCGGAAATTCAACGTATTATTGGAAAGCGGACTTTTTTGGAGGCGTGCAGTATTATTTTCCTAC